TTTTTTTTTTTTTTTTTTTTTTGCAGAAGCCCAATTTTATAAATTGGAATCTCATTTTATAAATTGTTTTTAAACTTTTACCATGTAATCAAAGAAACTTTCGCGGGTCGGATACGGCCTGCGGGTGGTAGTTTGAAAATCCCAGTTCTAGATAATAAACTTAATATATATTGTGAACATATTGATACTATCATTTTTATATATCTACTTCAAGAACGAATGAGCTGGGTCCTTCTTTTTTTTTTTTTTTTTTTTTTTTTTTTTTTTTTTTTTTTTTTTTTTTTTTTTTTTTGCAGAAGCCCAATTTTATAAATTGGAATCTCATTTTATAAATTGTTTTTAAACTTTTACCATGTAATCAAAGAAACTTTCGCGGGTCGGATACGGCCTGCGGGTGGTAGTTTGAAAATCCCAGTTCTAGATAATAAACTTAATATATATTGTGAACATATTGATACTATCATTTTTATATATCTACTTCAAGAACGAATGAGCTGGGTCCTTCTTTTTTTTTTTTTTTTTTTTTTTTTTTTTTTTTTTTTTTTTTTTTTGCAGAAGCCCAATTTTATAAATTGGAATCTCATTTTATAAATTGTTTTTAAACTTTTACCATGTAATCAAAGAAACTTTCGCGGGTCGGATACGGCCTGCGGGTGGTAGTTTGAAAATCCCAGTTCTAGATAATAAACTTAATATATATTGTGAACATATTGATACTATCATTTTTATATATCTACTTCAAGAACGAATGAGCTGGGTCCTTCTTTTTTTTTTTTTTTTTTTTTTTTTTTTTTTTTTTTGCAGAAGCCCAATTTTATAAATTGGAATCTCATTTTATAAATTGTTTTTAAACTTTTACCATGTAATCAAAGAAACTTTCGCGGGTCGGATACGGCCTGCGGGTGGTAGTTTGAAAATCCCAGTTCTAGATAATAAACTTAATATATATTGTGAACATATTGATACTATCATTTTTATATATCTACTTCAAGAACGAATGAGCTGGGTCCTTCTTTTTTTTTTTTTTTTTTTTTTTTTTTTTTTTTTTTTTTTTTTTTTGCAGAAGCCCAATTTTATAAATTGGAATCTCATTTTATAAATTGTTTTTAAACTTTTACCATGTAATCAAAGAAACTTTCGCGGGTCGGATACGGCCTGCGGGTGGTAGTTTGAAAATCCCAGTTCTAGATAATAAACTTAATATATATTGTGAACATATTGATACTATCATTTTTATATATCTACTTCAAGAACGAATGAGCTGGGTCCTTCTTTTTTTTTTTTTTTTTTTTTTTTTTTTTTTTTTTTTTTTTTTTTTTTTTTTTTTTTTTTTTGCAGAAGCCCAATTTTATAAATTGGAATCTCATTTTATAAATTGTTTTTAAACTTTTACCATGTAATCAAAGAAACTTTCGCGGGTCGGATACGGCCTGCGGGTGGTAGTTTGAAAATCCCAGTTCTAGATAATAAACTTAATATATATTGTGAACATATTGATACTATCATTTTTATATATCTACTTCAAGAACGAATGAGCTGGGTCCTTCTTTTTTTTTTTTTTTTTTTTTTTTTTTTTTTTTTTTTTTTTTTTTTTTTTTTTTTTTTTTTTTTGCAGAAGCCCAATTATTTGTCAAAAGGAGAATGTTGCTCTAGATAATAAATTTTAGAACATATATTAGAAAATTGACGATGGAGCACATTATTATTATTATTAGAAATAAGCCTTGCATCCACAAGAGTATTGGAATTGCAGTTCTGAAGATGGGAATAAAAGGTCCCGAAACGTAAACTAGACTGTTAACATGTAACGTTAAAAATATACTCGTATTGTTAATAATTGGAAGTTATTATTGCCAAGGAACTAAATATCGTAAATAAGCATTTGCTTTCCACTTGGACTATAACATAATTTGATCACAAAATCGAGAAAAAACGTGGCCTACAAAAATATTTTGGGGGTTCAGGTCTCGCCAAACGCCCCAACATTTTTGTAGGCCACCTTTTATCTCGATTTTGTGCTCTAATTATCTTATGATTCAAGTGGAAAGCAAATGGGTATTTACGAGTTTTTAGTACCTAATTAAATAGACAAATTTTGCCGATCTCCAGATTGTGTCTTCAAGCACCAGTTCCGAGAATTTTTGTAAATAAAATAGTTGTAGGTTACGATGAGATGAAAGTATTTACGATGTTAACAATTTAATAGAAAGGGGTCTAGTAATTTTTTAAAGTAAGTTAGTCGATTGTACCTATATATCACCGGAGAAAAATAATCAAAAATATGTCATTTTTGAGATTTTTTATTATTGCCGACATTTCAACCCAAACATGTAGGTCATCGTCAGGGTATTTATGAAGTACTGAATGTGTTCAAGTACTCCAACTTGATTGTTTATCTCCTGTAAAAATAAAATTATATATACGTTTTTATACTTGTATCCCCCCCCTTTGGGTATTATCATCTCAATATAAATAAAAATTGAAATAATAGGAGCTTTCAGAGCATGATCAAAATAATTATATGGCTACTTCTATACCTTAGCTTAGAAATTTAGTCCACTTTTACTATTTTTTCAATTGATTTTAGTTTATATATTATGTTTATTCAGATAGATTATTTATTATTGATTTTAATTTTTTTTTTTTAATTTATGTGCTTCGGATTATTGAGGGGAGGGGAAGTAATATTTTTGTCCCCCTCACTTATTATTGGCGATCGCCGAAGTCTGCGCCTACAATTTCATTAAATTTCGAAGAAACAGCACTGGAATATTCAAGATAATGTTCCATTCCAATTATGGATCGAGTCCATTACTCCTCAATGGTGACAAAGCTATCCGAATCAGTTCTTTGCCACTTGATGGAAAGAGAGCAACAACTTTCTCGACATGAACCGCCATCATTGTGGTATTTCTCGTCGCTACGTAACTTTATCATCCTGCTTCCTAGATCTGCCTTTGAAATGAGAAGAATTCCATATTCAGTATTTGTCATCGTCAAGAGCAGAAAATACCGCTCAAAAATGGCTTGACTTATAAATGTCATTAATTAAATGATTTATACAATACTTTTAGTTAATTAGACAAGAAGGTTTTATATAAACATACGTATAACAAAATTTAAAAAAATAACCTATATATTTATAAATTAGAAATTCAAAATGTAAATTCTTTGTAAAACAAGTTATAATGCAGTTTATAAAAAAATGTTTGAAAATCGCCTAAAAGGCTGAAACGTAATATACATAGATGAAGAAGTGATTGCCAAGCATGTTGTTGCGTGGTTAAACAAAACAACTAAATATCGAAATCTTAATCGATAGTAATATTTGATTATCGAAAAACAATATTTTTATCGAAATATTTAAATTATTTTCTAACACTAATATGTTTGATATCTCTATAAGAAATATTACATCTATTTTATTTTAATTTGATTAATTGTTTTATGTTCAGTTATATAATTCATTTGTCTCTGGTTGTCAATATTATATTAGATATATATATATATATATATATATATATATATATATATATTATAATAATATAAGTATATACACATATATAAGTATATATGCTCTAAACTCCAGATTTCCGTCTTTGATATGGGGAAACTCAGTTCTTATATGTATAAAAGGTTAAACTACATCTTGAAAATTTATAAAAATATCCAAATAATTACAGTTACGAAAATTTTATTATTTATATTTACACCGGTCTCTCTTTATATAATTTTATATATATATATATATATATATATATATATATATATATATATATATATAAATGAATGAGGAGTAAATTTCTTGACTTGCCGTAGGCTTTTTCCTCTAACGGCAAAAAAAAACGTATGAATTTCCACGGTTTTCAAGATGGCGACCCACTTTCTATATCGGTGACTGTTGGGCGCCGCTCTTTTCTCAATTGTTGAATATTATCGCTCTCAATGAACCAAATAATTGCTAAGCTGCAATAGTCGTACATAATTATCTTAAGTACGTATATGAAAATAATCTCTTTCACTAAATTAGAATAAGACTAATTTAATAATTATAAACACAGAAATTTGAAAAGAAATCAATTATAAAATTAATTACTTTATTGCCCGATCCACTGCCTTCTGGAATTCCTTGCCATCTGATAGCCACCATGCCTATTCCTTGTCCTAATGTAAATATAATCTCTACCAATTCCTTATCATATCCCAATGTGCCAACATTTAAAAACCCAAACATGTGGGTCATATTCAGTGCTCAAACCACGCCCTTAAGATGGCCCACATGTTTGGGTTTAAACGTTGGCAGAAATAAAAAATTAAATTTCTTTTTTTAAATGACTGCGTCGCCCATTTTATTTTTTTTTATATTTATAAAAATAAATCTAATTATTTATTTTTACTATTTTTTTTATTTTGACTGATCACCCCAACCATCCTCCACTTCAATTATTCAATACAGTCAATCAATAACCCACAATTAGTAAAATATAACCATTTTTTATAGAAAAAAAAAATTATAAACTATGTCTTAAAGTATTATTGTTTGTGAAATTACATTTAATGAGACTTCAAGAATCATTTAAACATTATTTCATATTGGTAGTTAGTTTCTTTTTTTTTCAAATTAATTATCGTTATATAAATGAAAAAAATAAAAATCTTTCTAGCTGAAGCCTCCCGAAAATTTAATCCTGGACCCGCTAGTGTATATATATATATTTAATACCTGAGTCACGTTTTCGCCAGTTTCACCTAATCGACAACCACTTCTCATTTTTTTTCCATTTTCTTTTTTTTAAACTGTCGAGTAAAAAGAGGCCTTTTAACTCAAGACGAACGGGAAATCTATTATTAATGTGTAAATTAGCAAACAGTAACAGGTTAGCATAAATTGTCTCAATATTTTAACATTCGCCAGACGCCTTCGCCCTTGTAACACTTATTATTAACAATTTAGTTAACATTTTAACAACAGTTGAGTAATTAAACGCTCTGTCTCTTCTAGGTCGGAGCATTCATGAAGTAATGGTTTCGTTTTCTACCAGCTCTGTCATCAAGGTGAGTCTAATATTATAATATATATTTTAATTATAATTATATATATATATATATATTAATGAATTTATAAAAATATTTTACCCATTTCCGATAGGGTTCTTACCTGTGAGCCCTAGGAGCCGAGAAAAAAAAATTAGAAAATTTAATATTTCTAATATTTAAATATTTTTTTGTATGAATTATCGAAGGATGTTGTTCCTTAGTCTGTTCTACATATCATTGGTGATAAATATTCTGGACGCAGTCTTCTATTTAAAAAAAAATAAAATTTTAATGTTTTATTTATACCAACGTTTCAACCCAAACCACGCCCTGAAGATGACCCACATGTTTGGGTTGAAACGTTGGCATAAATAAAAAATTCATTTTTTTTTTTTTAAAAAGACTGCTTCCTGAATATTTATCACCTTTTTTTTTTTTTTTTGTTGTCTGACTTTGCTCTGGATGGATTTATAAGTTATTATATATCAATCGATTTGTTTTTTTGTGTAAAATAATAAAAACATATTGCTTATTGTATTAAATCAATTATAAGGTATTATAAATTATAAAAACCCATGGACGTTTCCAGTAAAGTTGGCCACTAAAATTCTATCATGAAAAAACCATTCAGATTCGTTTATAGAGCTCACTAAACCTCTTAAATAAGAGTTTGTTTTGAAATCAAAAAATATAAATTATAGAGGATTTTTATTTCATTTCGTTTTCTAATAACTCCTCAGGTTTTTCTGATAAGTCAACGTTACTACAACCGTTGGAAAGCTAAATTATTGCTCGTCAGAACTATATAGATAACATTTATATTTCACGCCTTTATAATTAATAAATAAATAAATAAAAACTCCCCAAACATTTTTATTTTTTATCTCCAAGCTCAATTTATTGGCGGGATTCTTGTTTTTGCTATCTTGTGGATAAGTAAAGCAATGTCGAGGTTATCGCAACTTTTGTGATTTAAAAAAAAAAATTTCGATTAGTGCGAAAATTTGTATTTAAGGGTTTTTCCAGGTCCGAAATACAAACCTCAACTTCATTTCTCCTTAAACAAATATTTGAACCTACTTTACTTCTTAGATCAGTTATATTTGTTTCAATTGTTGAACACATATTATATCTGTGAAAATTTTTCAAGTGACGTGTAATTGGTCACATTGCAAAGCATTGTCAAGGCAGGAAAAATTAATACAAAGTAAAAGAAAATTTAGCTGCTGTAATTTTCTACCAGCTCTTGTGGAATATTAGTTATGAGAAACCAGTGGATTGTTACTTTAATTTACAACGCTTAATTTTGTGGAATTTTTTTTTGTCCTCCCCTTCCTTGGTTTTTATGCTATACGCAGTTTCTTGGACCAGGAGATGAGGGCGGGAGATTAATACCAGAGTTTGAAAGCCCCCGGCGTACCAGGACACGAACTCGTAATTATTTTAATAAAATAATCCAGGTTACCGGGCAATGTGTGGTGATATGCACACGCATTATCCATCTCGTCCACTCCGCCCCCTAAATTTTATGAACTGTATTAGGTTAACATAATAAGTGGCGAATAAAATTAAATAATAAATAATAAAAAGTAACGAAAAAATCCCTAAATGGTTATTATGCGCTGTACCGACTGGTAATGGTCCAATGGATAGACCGAAGCGAAGATGGGAAGATTACGTTAAGGCTGATCTGGCGAGGTTGGACCGGTGGAGGGAGGTCTGTAGACAGAGATTAGTGGTGTCGGCATTGAACCTTCGGGTTCGCTAAACCATTTATTATTAAGTAAATATGTATAAAAATAAATTACAATAACATTCTCGTAATTTCAGTATCATGTATACTAAAGGGGTCAGAGTTAATATTTGAAGTACTCCTGCCAATACTGGACTTCAGTTGAGATTCCAAATCCTATAGTTACTTCATATCTATATGCTTGGACAAAAAAAAAAAAAAAAAATGCATGAAACTCGGTGGAACACTTAGTGTTCTTTGAACTGAAATGTGAGATGATTACGAAATAATCAAAAATATTCCGGCAATAAAGATAGTATTCCCTTCAATGAAATATTTAATAAAATGATCCAGTTTGTAGATAATTTTTTGCCACGATAGATTACAAATTAACACGCGGCGAATTATCTCATAAGAATAATTTCGTATCGTTCAGAAAGACCAAATATCAAACATGATTCATGCATTTAATATTGGTTAATATGTTAACTCTGTTGATGTAAGTCTCTAAATATATAAGCACCATATAATTTAGTAAGTTATTACAGATTTATTTATTATTTATAATAATTGAAATCATAAGGATGAAAAATAATCACAACATACAGTCAGCAATTATGTTTATTAAGTTTGCTGAAGTTTCGATCCAGACGTGTGGGTCATCAACGGGGTTATAGTTTGAAGGCTGGACAATAATGGTTCATGAAGTTAATTAATGTTTATCATTAAAAATTTAATCTCTAATTTTTCGGACAATTGTGATTGGTCCTTATGTTCATGAGGCAAGAGAATGAATACATATATTTTAAAAAACTAAGATGTGTGCTTTAGGCTACGCGATATGAGTGAAAACATCAACAAGGCGAGATTAATAATAAATTATAAATAATAGCTCATTATAAAGAGGATGAAATGCTGAACATTTCTCTCGCTTACAGTATGCAGGTCAGATTTTTAGTTTCCGAGATATTTAAATCCATATCTTTCATAAAACTCGTTATCATTTGGTTTTAAACACTATTGTTCTTTTTCACCTCTCTAAAATGGCGTCGCTTTAAGATACAATTTTGAATAATAGTCCATTATAGAGAGAATGAAATGTTAAATATTTCCCTGGCTTACAGTATGCAGGTCCGATTTTTTACTTTCCGAAATATTTTAATCCATATCTTCCATAAAACTCGTCATCATTTGAACTTCGACACTATTCTTTTCCCATTGCAGGGAAGATGAAATGGTGAACAATTCTCTCGCTTACTTCTGTATATTTTAATATAATTAATATAACTATTTCTGTGATATTTTACGCCATATATTCAATAAAACTCGTTATAATTTGGTTTTCAACACTATTTTTTTCTTTTTCGTCTCTAACCGGCGTCACGATAAGAAAAAAATTTGAATAATAGCCCATTACAAAGAGGATGCAATTATGAACATTTCCATTGCTAACAATATGCAGGTCCGATTTTTAGTTTCTTAGATATTTAATCCATATGCAAAAACTCTTCAATTAGCCTACTTTATCCGAGCGTTACACATCGCAATCTGTGTAATAATCTGACGGTTCAATCTAATTCACTCTCTAAAAAAAATTTACAAAACGTGGCTAAAAAAGTTTTAAAATAAAAAATAAAAATTTTATACGAATCAAAATTACAGGTTATAAATCACTGGATGATGCTTTAAGAATGTCTGTTTTAAACCGCAAAGAAAATACTTGTTTAATAAAAGATACAATAAAACCTCGGATCTGGCTGAAAACAAATAAAAACATATGACACTTTTTGGCCCTACGCATGTTCTCCTTCATTTGGAAGCCGCGATAGCTGATGTTACGACAGGCCGTGTTTTAGACCTCATCTGATATTTTACGTTTCTCGCTAGAACTGGAATCACTACCTGGTGAGGAAGTGAAATAAATCTCTGGGGCGATCTTTAGTACGCTGTGCCCACCGTTTTATGATATCTGTAAAATTCTAGATTGAAGAATTTTGGAATCTTTTAACCTTACCTTACCTTACCTTAACTCTCTGCTTGATTTTTTTTAAAGTGAAAACTTCTTTAGGCACGATTGCACTTTTGTGAATAGTGAATTAAATTGAGCCGTCAGATCTCCGCTGTGTAACGCTCCGGTTAAGTCGGCTCGAGTTTGACTAACTTTTGCGTTTTTGCATATGGATTAAAACATCTATGAAACTAAAAATCGGAACTGCATACTGTAAGCGAGGGAAATGTTCAGCATTTTATCCGGTTTATAATGAACTATTATTCAAAATTGTATCTTAACGCGACGACGTATTATTGAGGCGAAAAAACTAGTGTCGAAAACCAAGTGATAACGAGTTTTATGAAAGATATGGATTAAAATATTAGAAACTAAAAATCAGACCTCCATACTGTAAACCGGGGAAATGTTCATCAATTTCATCCACTCTATAATGGACTACTATCCAAAATTGTATCTTAACGCGACGTCGTATTAGTGAGGCGAAAAAAAGAAAAAAATGTGTCGAAAACCAAATGATAACGAGTTTTATGAAAGATATGGATTAAAATATCTGAGAAATTAAAAATCGGATCTGCATACTGTAAGCGAGGGAAATGTTCAGCATTTTATCCTCTTTATAATCAGATATTATTTATAATTTATATTTCAAGTTATTAACCTTGTTGATGTTTTCACTTTTCTAGTGTAGTCTAAAGCACACATCTTAGTTCTTTTTTGCAGATTTTGGACCATAAAGGGAACTCATTTTAAGAGAAGGAGTTGAAACCAGAGTCGCTGCTTCCATCATATATATATATATATATATATATATATATATATATATATATATATGTTATGTATATATATATATAATAATATATATGTTTTAAAATGATCGTTTGGTTTTCTTGAAGATATTCAGGGAGCATTGGGATACATTACTGAAGGATGGTTGCCAACTCTTTGAAGAAATGTCCAACCTGCATGATGTTCTTCCTGAGGTTCTCGAACCCGCTTTGTCCTTTATCAATAGTGTTGCCCAAATGCGAGACCGAGACGATTCTTGGTCTTGCGCAACAGCCTTGCAGTTACTTATTAGCTTATATTACTATAGAAATATTACTATAACTTTTTAGATAGAAGAAACCTAACTAAGCCCGAATGAAAAATTAGAGGAGTTAAATACAAAAGTTTATTGGTTTTACCAATTATTAACATATAGTAACTAAGATTGTCAAGTATTAGTAACTATTTTGTCTTAATTAGTATTCAAATAATCGATTTTTTTTACCTGTC